AGGTAATACAAGAATATAAATATACTATACTAAAAATAAATAAGATAATACATATATGAAATACTAATATAATAATAGAATAAAATAATAATAATAAAATACGTTGTAAATATATATAATTAAAAAAATAAAGAAATAGGGTCAACAATGTGTTTCATTTTAGTATTAACAATATTCATGAAATTATTATGGTTTAAAGAAAAACATCTATGAAAAAAATCATGCAAAAAATTTGTGCAAATTTTCACATGTGATCTTTTGCAAATATTTTTCTACTGGAATAAAATACATATCATTTTTTAATCAAGAACTATACTTTTTTTTGATCTTATAATGCCTTAGTAGAAATCACTTTATACTTTATAAATTGTAAGCGAATTCAAAAAAAAAAATAAAAAACTGATGAAAATTTTTCAAATTATTGTATTTTTTTTATTTTTTTATTGACTTAGTTTGTGATTTTATAAGTATAGAATGATTTTCAACTAAGATATTTTTAAGATAAAAAGAAAGGCCTAGTTCTTGACTATAAAATGATATAAATTTCATCTCAATAATATTAATATTATAAAGTTATTGTAGTTTAAAAAAAAATATCTATGCAAATCTTCTGGAAATTTTTGCACAATTTTTTTTACAGACATTTTTTTTAAATTGTAATAATTCCACAAATATCATAGCTATGGAAATCAAGCACATACCATTTTGTAATTAAGAATTTTCTTTCTTTCTATCTTAGGAATACCTTAGTAAAAAATCATTCTATATTTTATAAATTGCAAGTGAATTCAAAAAAAATATAAAAAAAATACCTGGAAATTTTTGCCTATTCAATTTCCTTGATACATTATTCTTTAATTAATTACAAAATAAAAATAACTAAATATATATCAATTCTAAAATTAATACAATAACTACATCAGGAATCAAATAAAAACATTCTACAACACTATATGAACACCATTCTATAGCTTCTACAAATGGCACTAACATTCATATAGCATACTAAATACACTGTTCTAGGGAGTATTACAAACATTTTGTTCATATAGCATACTTAAATTGGCATTTTTAGTACATTATTTGAACATTTTGTTCATATAGCATACTAGAATGTCTATATAATTCTGGATGTACTAAGTAATAATAAATAATAAATAATAAAATAAAATCACGTGAAAGTATGTGATTTCCAAATCCCATTACAAATTTTTATTGCACTATCATTTCAGTAATTTATTCATTAATTAATAATATAAAATAATTTCTCATTTAAAAAATGAGTATAGAATGGTTAACAAATAAGGAGGAAAGTTTGAGATTTCGAGGAGATGATTTTTTAATTAATCTTAACCCGAATTTACTTACTTATATCACGGATCACGAATTAATTATTCAAGTTTATCACAAAGAAACAAACAAATTTGTTACAAAAAAAAATAAATTCATAAAATTATCTTTCTTAGAGAAAGAAGCCATGAATTTTGTGTTAAATAAAATTGCAATAAATAAATAAATTACATACCTTATTTTGTCCATTTTCTTCATTTCTAAATAAAAAAAAAAAAACAGCAAACAATTTAACATGGAATTTGCTTTTATTTTGTCTTACATTTTCATTGTGTTTGGCAAGCCAAACATGATAAAAGTCGGGACTCTTAAAATTTAATTCAGGCGATGATCACTATGTGTAACCATAAGTTAGGAAATTTTTAAATCAGATTCATTTTTTATATACTTTAAAAAAATGTCTCAACCTTTACTCGAGACTATTAAAATTGATGTTATTCCAGAAGGGGTTGGAATTTTAACCTTAAACAGGCCGGATAGAGATAATGCACTCAATTCGGTTTTATTAAAGGTTTCAATTTTTAATTTTTTCATATTTATTATATTATTTTTTTTTACTTTTATTTTTATCTATATTGTTTATTTTAAAATGAAAGGATTTGCTCGTAGCATTTCAATGGGCAACAATAGAAGAAAAAGTTAAAGTTGTAATTATTACTGGGAATGGGAAATATTTCACTAGTGGTTGGGACTTGACTGAAGTTTCTCAAATTGAAAGTTTAGAAGAAGTATTTGAAAGAATGAAGACATTTACTGAAGTTTTTGAGTAAATTATCTGTATCATACAATATAATTTTTTTTTTTTTAAAAAAAAATATTTCATTTATTTATTTATTTAATTTTCATTTATTTAGAAAGTTAATAGAAGTATTAATTGATTTCCCGAAGCTCTTATTAGCAGCTGTTAATGGTATCTTAATACATATTATTAAACTATTGTATATCAAAATATTAAAAGAAATAAATATATTATTTAAAACATATCATTTAAAACATATTATTTAAAACATATCATTTAAAACATATCATTTTAAACATATCATTTTACAAAAAAAAAAAAAAAAAAACGAATATTAGGAAGAGCAATTGGATTTGGAGTCACGATTCTTCCCCATTGTGATGCAATTTATTCAGTTCCTGAAGCTACATTTGATACCCCTTTTATGCAATTGGGTTTGTAAATATATTTATATTTATGTTTATCTGCTCTACTATTATATTTATTTAATAATAATCTTGATAATAATATAATAATAATTTAGCAATATGCGCTGAAGCTTGTTCTTCTTATTTATTACCAAAGTAAGAAAAATTAGAATAATTTCAATTTATTATTCATTAAAATTATAAATAATTTTTCAAATCAAATAATTTCTAAAAAAAATTAATTTTTATTTAATTTTATTTAGATTTTTAGGAAATTCGACTGCTAATGAAATGCTGGTACGTATTTCATTTTTTATATAAACAACGACAATAACAATAACAACAACAGCAACAACAATAATAACGATAATTATCTTTCCATTTATTAATTTATTAATTTTATTTTGTAGTTAATGGGTCGTTTATTTACAGCATCGGAATTAGTAAATCACGGATTTATTAATCGAATAATACAAAAAGAAAATTTATTAAATGAAACCATAAAAGAAGCAATTACTGTAACAAAATTCTCTTTTGAAGCATTTAAACAAACTAAACAATTAATTAAATCTGATGATATACGTGATCATTTAAAGAAAGTCTTGAAGAGAGAAAATGAAGCGTTGATTGAAAGGTAAAGAAATTACTGTATATAACTAACATTAATATAATAATTAATTAATTAACAATTGATTATAATAATTTGAATAGGGTATCCTCCGGAGATATGAATCAGTTCGTTGCAAAATTTATATGTATGTAAATACTAAATTATAAAAGTTATTTCTTTATATATTGTGTAAGCTAACTATTTTTCTCTCTCTTTCAATCGATTAAAAGTTGATCGACGAAGATCGAAAAAGAAATTTAATAATAATAGTAAATTATAAAGTCCCATTTTGTTTCTTATATTATTTATTGTGTATTGAAGAACATTGACATTGTAAGTGTTTTAAAATTTTGATTTTCAAATTGAATATTCATTAAATAATATATTAACAAAATTGACAACAGAAAAACTTGATGATTATTATAAGACAAAACAAGTGCAATTCGACAAGGAATGTAAATCTGAAGAGAATTATTTATTCCATTCAACTCCCATGGTTGTGGAAAATAATTTTGACTCTCATCAATTCTATTATCTCCCCGTTCCCATCATATAATCAGGATATTAATTGGCTGAATGGAAGTTGAAGATCCGGAGTAAATTTGTACGCTCGAAAACAATCAATTTTGATTTAAAAAAATATATATATATAAATTAATGAAGAATAATCAGAATAGTTAAAAGGTAAATGATCGATAATAGGTGTAAGTAGGGTTATATCTGACATACCACTGAGCTTGGTCATGTGATTCGGAATTTTTTCCTAAACTAAAATTGTTAATTAAATAAATTAAAAATTTCCAAAATTATCATAAACTATAAAAGGAAATAACGAATAGTAATTACTTTGTGTAAAAAAAGTTTGTCATAACGGGCATCAATTGGATAGAATTTGTACTATTTAAAAGTATCAAAATCTTGACTTTATGCCCAAAGAAATAACCCAAGAAATACACTAATACAAATATGTCTTCCGCTTCTCCAATAATAATTTTTATAGTATATCTTAGTGCATTTTTGTATGTTTGCCGATTCAAAAGATCATATTTATGATACAAACTTTATATAAAAACTACATATTCTGAATAAAGTCAGATTTTTTAAAAAATTTATTATGTAGAAAGCTAGATTCCGGAAAACTTCCAAATTGTATTACTTTTTCAATCATAATATCGTTATTTCTCCATCAAATAACATTAAAAAAAGTTTATCGATAATCTTTTGAGAAAGTTGATCCCTAACTTTGTCATTAACGAAAAATCCTTGTTTTAAATGAAGGGTTTATAATTTAAACGATCTTCGAGACTTCTCTAAGCACTTAATAACTTCTTAATTCGTTTTTTTTATTCTGGTTTTCAGCATCAATCTTTTTCTTTGTCATTTCACCATTGGCTAACGTCTGGATTGATTTTCTAATCACTTAATTTTACCAATAAAAAATCAAAATTGACATTTAGGAGTAAGTCCTGTTGGTAAAAGACCAGCAATGATTAACGGGCTTAATCGGGCATAAACGTGCATTTTGGTTTTTTTTTATAGCAAGTGATGAATAAAAAATCGTAAAGATAAGAATTTCGCAAATAATATTTGTATAAAATAAAAAGAATTTTTTACAATAAGCGATCCCAACTTATAATTTCGCCAGTTAAATAATTAAATCATGTGTTATCCCTGCTTTCTCGTTAGTGTTGTTTGTCTTGTGATCGTGCGATATCAATGCAACCATTTATAGATTCCTTAAACATCGTACATTCAATCATTCTTTAACTTTTTCTCCCTAAATAAACATTTATATAATAATTTTTTATATAAAATTTTTATAATAATTTTACATATAAATTTTTATAATAAATTAATATTAATATCAGATACTAATACTCATAAATAATAATAATAATAATAATAATAAAATAATACATATCAGATATCTTTGAAAAAATGTCACTTCGTCCCAAAAGAATAGTATTTGATAAAGTTTTTGACGAGTTCAAACTAGATTTAGAACAATTATTTAATTTTTCTGGATTAGATCGAGTATCAGGGATGAAAATGTATCAGTATCCTTTTTTTTTTTTTTATTAAAAAAAAATCTAATATAAATATAATATAATATAATATAATTTAATTTAATATCATATATTTATAATTAATGATTTATTATATTAAAATTCCTTAAAAATAAGAAAAAAATAAATTTAAGATTAGTGTATGATATGTGTACAGCTTCACCTAAACCTTATACATATAAATTATTTAATTCTATTGCTGATTTTTTGACATCATATACAATAGATGTTAGAAAGGTAGGCTAAAAATAAATAAGTAAATAAATCAAAGATATATATATATATATACACACAATATATGTATGTATGTCTTCCTGATTACATTGGGAAATTTGTAATTTATCATTCAAAATTTATATATAATAATAAATTACATTCAAATATATATATATATTTTAGTCAATTTTGGAATATGACGATGTAACCAGTGCGTATGCTCGAAAATGGAAACATTATCAATTGGCATCACAATTTTCTAGTATGATTTGTGAGTATCTTAATAAACGGATATTAGATAATAGTGAATTCAAAAATCGAGGAATATCAACAGCAACAGCAGCCGCGGATAAACAACAATTTGTTGAAGATGGAAAATATAAAAGACAAACCATTCATGCGGTTGGTTAATATATAAATCGAATTATCATCGAATTATCAATTATCAATTATCAATTATCAATTATTAATTATTAATTATTAATTACCGATTAATTATTTTTTATAGTTGGCATATTTAATATGGAAAGAACGAGTTATCAATGATATTAAAAGTAAACATTCGGATCGACTTATGTATCAAATATTTGAAATGATTCGAAGAGATAGAGATGGAGAAGATACAGTTCCGGATGTGGTTACTGATGTTATTAATTCACTTGGTAAATTATTTATTATATATTTATTATATATTTATTATATATTTATTATATATTTATTATATATTTATTATATATTTATTATATATTCTATTATATATTCTATTATATATTTATTATATATTTTATTATATTCTTATATTTATTATATTTATATTTAATGAAAACAGTTGAACTCAATTTCCAAACCGAGAAACAACAATTACATTTATATCAAGAAGAATTTGAAAAACCATATTTGAAAATGACTCGACAATATTATGAAAGAGAATCAGCTGCGGTAATTGCAAATGGAAGCATTTCACAATATATGAATAAGGTATAAATGACCAATTGATTGATTGATAGCAATTGATTATTGATAATAACTAATTAATTGGTTGATTAATATTAGGCATGCGAAAGATTAAATCAAGAAGTAGCACGTAACAAAAAATATTGTCACGAATCATCACATGAAACTGTATGCATATCTTTATTTATATATTTAATATTTTAATTAATTTAATTATTTTATATCATATTTGATTTATTTAATTTATTTAATTTATTTAATTTAATTTATTTTATTATCATTTTATTAGATAATCAAAGAATGTGAAACTCAATATGTGGCAGCACATCAATCACGAATACATGGTGAATTTGAGTCAATGATATCAAGTGAAAGATTTGGAGGTATAAAATATTTTAATCTCATTTAATAATAATAATATTATTATTCGATTTTTATTCGATATTATGCAATATTTTATTATTAATAATATTATTTTTTAATTTATTTTAGATTGTACAATGGCATATAATTTATTATCACGTATTCCTGGAGGAGTTAATCCGTTATTAGAAATATTTGAACAATATATTACAAATATTGGTAAAGGATTAATTGCCGGAATGGGAAATTCTATAACAAAGGTAAATTTTATAATAATTGATTATTGATTGATTGATTATAATAATTGATTGATAATTATTTATTTATTTAGGATCCAAGAGAATATGTAGAATCATTAATGAATCATCACATAAAATATATGAATCTTTGTCACAAAGTATTTATCAATGATGCAGCATTTGTAGCTGCAGTTGATAAAGCTTTTAGAACAGTGGTCAATGATGTAAATACTAATCCAGTAGCTCAAGCTCCAGAAGTTTTAGCTCGATATTGTGATGTATTGTTGAAGAGAAATATTAAAGGTGGTTGGAGTGAACAAGAAGTTGAAGATAAATTAAATAGGATGGTAACAAGATTATTTTTATTTACGTTATTTATCATTATTATAAAATTTATTATATTAATATTAATTATATTATCAAATTATTGTTATTAGATTGTTCTATTTAAATATATAGATGAGAAAGATATTTATCAAAAATTTTATTCAAGAATGTTGGCAAAACGTCTTATTTATGGAAATTCTGCATCAGAAGAAGCCGAAGCTAATATGATATCACGTCTTAAGGTAATTAATATATATATTTTATGTCATCTATCTATCTATCTATTTATCTATCTATCTATATCTATTATTTAAAATTTTTAATTCCAATTTTAATTTATTTAATTTATAGAATTCATGTGGTGTAGAATATACTAGTAAATTACAAAGAATGTTTACTGATATCACAATAAGTTCTGATATTAATGATAGTTTTGCTGTTTATATGAAAAAAACTCCTGCAAATGATGCAAATGGAGGAGGAAGTAAATGTAATTACTATTATTATTATTATTATTATTATTATTATTATCATTATCAATCAATGATTTATTTATTTATTTTACAGCTCCAATGGTAGATTTTTCTATTTTGGTTTTGACTGCTGGAGCATGGCCATTAACCCAAGCATCAACTACAGAATTTCAATTACCAACTGAGGTAATGTAATTTTATTATTAATATTTATTTATTAAATTTAATTTAGTTGATTTATTTATTTATTTTATTTTATTTTATTTTAATTATTTATAGTTGGAAAGAAATGTTTCTCATTTTTCAACATTTTATAATGGTCATCATAGTGGAAGAAGATTAACATGGTTATGGCATTTATCTAAAGGTTAATATTAAATTTTATATTATTTATGGTATATTATTTGTAATTATATAATATCTATATATTAAATTATTCATATTAATTATAGCTGAATTAAAGTTAAATTATCTTGACAAACGATACGAATTTTCAGTTTCACTTCATCAACTTGGTGTCCTACTCTTATTCAACATCGTTACTATTTATACTTTTAAAGATATTAGAGATCATACTGGATTGAGTGAACAAGAACTAAAGAGAGTTATGAAGGTATCTTCTTAAATTTATTATTATTTTTTTATATTATTATTTATTAATAATAATATTCATAATAATATATTTTACATAACATTCATAATGTTTATAATAATATTCTTTAATTTTATAAATTTTATAGCCAATGATTGATCTAACAGTATTTCTTGTGGATCCACCCGGACCTCTCCAAAATCACTCCGAAATAAAATTAAATATGGGATTCACAAAGTTAGTAAATTAAATTGGCATCAATAATTAAAATTAACCTTAATTAACCTTAATTAAAATCATTAGTAAACGAAATAAAATTAAAGTTAGTTCTGCTTTACAAGCTGAAACACCACAAGAAAATGATGCTACCCGAAAAGGTGTAGATGAAGATCGTAAATTATATCTTCAGGTATTTAAAATGTGATGATATATTATATTTCACATATTCCATTCTTACATATATTATATCTCTACTATATTACATTCTCTCTATAGGCATCTATCGTACGTGTAATGAAATCGCGTCAGACTCTTTCACATAATTTATTAATAAAAGAAGTTATTGATCAGGCTAAAACAAGATTTAATCCTAATGTGGCGATGATTAAAAAATGTATTGAACAATTATTAGATAAACAATATATAAAAAGAACTAATCAAGATAAAGATAAATACATTTATGTTGCTTAGATCAAAAAAATTTATATATAAATGAGATATTTAGATAAATTATGATATATATATATATATATATATACATTTATTTATTTATTTAGATAAAATATTATTCTATATTATATCTGATATATGTATTTAAAAATATAAATTATAATGTAATAAGTAATTGATAATGTAATAAAATAGAAATATTTATTATTATATAGAATTATTTTATTGTTTCCTTTTATTAGCAACTATTATTATTATTATCATAACCATTTATAAACCATATATATATATAATAAAATAATATAACGTTGCCCAAATCAAATAATATAAATCAATTATAATATGCTCTTTTGATTGCTCGATATTTTTTTAAATAATATAACGCTTCTAATTCTTTAAAAAAAAAAAAATAAAGTAAAATAAAATATAAATAAATATAATTAATTATTATTATTCCATTTATTATTATTTATTTATTTACCTTTAATGACATATTCACCAGCATCAATCGCTTTTTTAATCTCATCTTCATTAGTTAAATTACGATTTTTCATAAATGCATTTTTTAATTTGGGATAAAAATATGAATAACCTAATGGATATTCCCTACCTAAAAATAAAAGCTATTTTTGAAATTTTATTATTATTTACATTATTTACAATTATTAATTAATATAAAATAACTTATTATCATAACTTATTATTATAACTTAATTTATTATTTAATAATTTACCCGTTTATACAAATCTTTTACTTGATAATGAAGATTTCGTGAGTTTGACATTGTTTTTTTAAATCAAAAAACAAACTTAATTTTTATAATACATTTTTGTTGATTGGATAAAGTTAAGGTACAAGAGGAATTTATTCCTAAAGGATAAATATCATGAAGAAACAAATAATAAATATAATAAATACTAAATAAAAACAATATTACCTACTTCTAAGTCAAAGGAATTTGAATAAAAAATAAAAATTTTGGGTATTAAAATTATTCAAGTAATAAATTTTATTTAAAATTACATATTAAAATTATCCGTTCATATAAATTTTAGCTTCTTCTATCTTTTAAAAAAAAATGGATCAAACCCTTAAAGTTATAGAAAATTTCAGTAATAACATATAAAGCTAGCCTCACTCTTTAGATTTAATGATCAACGTGTTACACGTGTATTTATTAATCGTTCTTATGACAAGTAGTTTTCGTTTTCGTCTCATATGTTCTTATGAAATAATTAATTTTGACGTGTGTTAATAGTTTGGGATCATCGATCTTACACGATTTTGTGATTTAAATGAATGTGTGGAACACATAGTCTAAAGGCTCATGCAATTTCAATTTGTATTTTGAATCATTTGATACGGACTAATGCTTATAAAAACAGGCAGGAACTTACCTGATTACATCGGTCATTATGTCTCTTTCTAACCTCAAAGCTCATGTGTATAATATCCTAAAAGAAATTAGAGAAACATAGTCAAAGATGTAGAAATTCCAGAGCTACATCAATTCCCAAGAAATATTTTATCACTTCTTATTGGGAACGGAAGATTATCTGTAAATTTTTTTGCTTCATATTCATAAAAATTTCTTTGTTGTCCAGTTTCATTTCAAGGTTTTCTTGTCATACATCACGCACTCTTCGATCAACAGTATTTTTCTCATCCACTGCCACATTATTTGACAACGACCTTTTGAATTCACGAGCTCAGGTTAAGTCCCATCTTAAAGAACAAGGGTTTTCTGGAATCCTCAGCACCAATGCACCTGCTTTCATGAACGATGATTTGCTAGCACTAAATGTGAGCTTCGAACCATCTCTCAAAAACGAGATCCTCCCTGATTGTGTAGAAGGTATGAATTACGCAGTGTCAGCAGTGCTCTTGCGAACCTGATACTTATAATTTATATATTCTTTAGACACCAGCTTATAGATAAATACATTCTTCCCGAAATCGATCTCAGAACAATTACAGACAGAAAATTTAATGTTAAAAATCTTACCTCAATTTCGGATAATCACGTCAAAGCATCAAAGCATTCATAAAAGCTCTGCACAGAGTTGCAAGAATTTAGGTGCCGATGAAGGCTCAGATGAAGCTATAACTGACACACTGGTAAATTGTATAATAAATAAGATTGTTGACCTGCAGTACTATCCTTTGATGACTGGGTGAGAAATTATGAGAAATGTCTTTTTGTTTGTGATGTATTTCGATTATTTCTTAAAATTAAACCTAGATTACACCCGCCATGCAGGTTAAACATCTTAGGTACAGCAAGACCTGAATTCGTAGTTGATAATGATGATGTTTCTTTGGTTGTTATAGATGTCTGTATGTTTTTATTATTTTAAATCCTTATTTTTTGTTGACTCAACCAACTTTCTTTTAACAGGATAAATATCTAGAAAAAAAAACCCCTTTCCTATCAAAAAGTTACGGATAAACACAATTGGCCGCTGAGATACTTGCATGAAAATATGCGTCGGACTAATTCTTCAAGATGATGTATTTAGGGATCAAATTGTATTTGGTGTTCGCGTCATCTCCACATATTTTACATTTAATAAAACTATAATCCCTATTGCATATTGGAAGGAACTTGAATCCGGTTTACCAAAGAATGAATCGGTCGTAATTAAAAAGATGGCCAGAGAATAATCGTCCTCAGGATGGAATTGACATTGCAGATCCAAAGGGAAGAAGTGCTAACAGCATTGTTCAAAATTCGCCAATTTCTTATGCAATAGATAGTAGAGAAGTCAGTTTTATTATAATAAAAAACTTCCATTGGCATTATTTTTATTTCATGTTATGGTCATATGTTTGATAATTAGTTAATCTGGTGATTTTAATTTCGATTGTTAATTGTTTATGAAGAGATAACCATAACATTTCCGTGTTTATGTATTAATGAGTTTTTTTTTTTAATTCTTTTTGGATATCTAATTTGAAACAATTATACAGAGGTTACCTTACATAATTGCAAAAATTCTTGAACTATAAATAAATAAATTTATTAATAATACTGTTTTATTATATTATTCATTTTTCAATTATCTAATTTCATTTATCACGCATATAGAGGTACATAGGTTGAGATTGAGCGATGATGAATATTACAGTGAAAAAACTAGAAAAACTATAATAATAGTATCTGTGAAAGTACCTCACCAAATGCAACATTATATAATTAGAATTTTTTCACTATAGCACATTGTGGTAACTTTACTGATATGTGGTTTATTTATATTATTACAAATAAAGTTTATCTGACTGGTCAAACCCTAGAGCGTTAATAACACAAATGGCCAGCTCTTCAAGCCAAGATTTAAACGATTACATAATCTATATTATCCGCACTCAAGTTTGAAATAGTTGATACAGAAAATATTTATGCCTCTTATTTTTTCGTTACCAATATTAGATACGAGAACATCTTCACAAATTTCATTACAGCCTAAGAATCGAATACAGAATTTTTACGATTATTAATATATAATTGTGAAACAGTTACAGTAAAATTAAAGTTTTCTTAAAGACCCTAAAAATTATAGTAGACGATAATGTTCTAAATAATCCTTCTATGATTCAAATCAAATCTTCTGAGTCTTATGACTGCATTCTCAAAGTACTCTAAAAAATAATGATGACTTTATTCATTTAGAAAGTAATATAGATGAAAAATTTACTGATATATTTATATAAATGTGATAAATCATTATAAATTAATTATAAATTAAAATGCAGAAGTAATAATAAACGTATTTATTTTCATTTCCTTAATTCCCTTAAAAACTTCCAAACAACTGCTACTCCCTGATTACCTGTTTTTTTTTTTTGATTCTCCAGACAAAAAAAAATCATATTACCATTTTGAAACAGGGAACCAAAGTAATAAAAAAAATCATTATGAAGAAGTATCAATTATTTGGTGTAATTTAACTTAATTGCAATTGCATCATGAACTCTATTTGGGAGGAGCCAATATTTATCCTTGAGTCTCCACTTATCTTGGACATAAGCAACCTCTACTATAAGATTGGACCAGTGTTGATTCTAAAAGTATATTATTAAATTATTAGAAATTCAACATACTTGCATCAACAAACCTCAAACTGTCAAATCACATGTCAAAAACTATTCCAAGGCTTGCAACAATGCAAATGTTTCATAAATGTAATCATTCACGCGGACACAGTAAATAAAATACATGACACGAATCTTTGACTGTCACGATTGACGTATAGTTTATGGACTGAAAAATATATTACAATTCGCTTTTGTAATAAGAATGAAACTCGAAAAGACAATAATGCATGACAAATTTCCATCAGTGCAGTTATCAGATTATAGGGTTTTGAAACTGCATATTTCATCTTCTGACCGTTCTAGTGTATCTTTTTAATTAATATATTTGACATCATATGATCCTAGAGTATTCAATCTAGAGCATTAGAATTATTAATATGTGAACGGTATAAAATAAAAATTACCCGAATTCTCAATTGTAAAGCATTTGAGATTTTAAGTTTACTCAATAATGCTCTGGAATAACTACATAAGAGTCTTCGTAATATCAAACATATCTCAAAACAATCTGATTTTTTCGCACAATTCTTCTTAAGTTATTGAGATCTTCGCTACTAAAGAAGTTTTGACATTCGTGTTGTATTAATGATTAGATTTCTGAATAAAAATCACTTTTTACTTTCGATGTGACCCATTTTATGCTTTCGCTGATCTTGAAATTTCACCTTTGCCATAATAAAAAGCCTTATCCACCGATATTCCACGAATTTCAGAATTTAGAAGTTAGAAAATGGGTTCGCTTCAAAAAAAAAAAAAAAAAAAAACAAATTTTCTGAATTGATGACGTAGATTTGTTATAATGTTTTATCGGCTCAGCATTAAAAATAAATCAATAAATTAATAAAATAAGCTTATTCTATAAACGAGATTTCAATTTATGTTTTTTGGTATATGAACTCATTTTACTGTATACAGTACAGAAACAAAAATCTCTTCAATGAAGACAATAAACCATATTTGTTATTTATTTTTTTCCATATCCATTAAAAGTTCATAAATTGGCCTAAATTTCATATATATCGACTTGGATATGAGTAAGATATATATCATATCACACATACAAAAAAACAGAAGAAAATAATTATTCGATCATTCTATTCATCAATATTCATCTAGATGACGCAGTGATATATCTGAATTATAATAAAATATCAAGCCATGATTAAGACATGTAGCGATGACTTGTATGCAAATATATTTGAACTGGAAATATTTATCACATCACAATTTAAATCCGCAAGAATTATTTGTCTATTATTATGTCAATTATTATATAAAAAAAAATTTTTTTTCTAAATCTAATTATAATAATTTTATATGGGTAAAGATTAATTTTTTTCATTTTTTATTATTATTATATGTATGCTTTATTATATATTTATAACTGTATGTATATATGGAAACATTATTTTATAAAAAATGCAAAAGATTACAAATGAAATGATTAAAATGATTATTGATTTTTTTTTAAAAAACAAATAAATAAATAAATAAATAAATAAAATAAATAAATAAATAAAAATAATAATATACAACTTTTAATTTGGTTTATGATAATTAAATTAATTAATTAATTAATATTCCTCGATTTTTAATCCTATTTGATAGTTCTACTTCAATATTATTTATTAATTCTCCATCTATCTTTAGATTATTGTTATTATTATTATTAGTGTTATTATTTTTATTGTTATTGTTGTTATTATCATTATTCATTTCTACTACTTTATAATTTCCTCTATTTCCTCTATTTCCTTTATTCCTCATTGTGTTGATATTACTCTTAAATTTATCAACATTTGATTTCAAATTATTTAATGAATCATTTAATTCATCTCCATTAATATTTTCTCCGCCAACGTATCCATCTTCAGAAGAAGTTTTTTTATCATGGAATGTTTGTTTGAAAAATTTATTTTTATTATTAAAAATTTCATTATTATTATTATTATTATTACTATTATTATTATTATTATTATTATTATCATTTTCGGAAATATTTTTACTCCTGGAATTTGATTGCCTATGATAAAATAATCTATCAATTGATAATTTATCCGTTTCCGAATGGTCTTCTTTTTTTTCTGTTTCAGGTTTCCTAGTTTTTTTAAGAGTTGGCCAAGTTGGTGGAAGTGGTAATGGTGGTGGTCTAATAAGAGGTGATGTTGATCTTATAATTGGAGGTCTTGGTATTAATGAAGGAATATTAGAATCTGTTGGTGATTTTGATGTTTGCAATGAAGAATTTGGAAATGAAAAGTTTGGAATTGAGGAGTTTGGAAACGAAGAATTTGGAAATGAAGAATTTAATATTAATGAATTTTGAAAAGATAAATTGGACATTGATGAATTTGATGCTAGTATTGGTGTTGGTGTTGGTGAAGTAGAAATTCTAGAAGGTGTGGGTCGTATTTTTAATATACCTTTAATAGGAACTGATGATGATGATGATGATGATGATGATGGTGTTGTTGATGTTGTTGATGTTTTCATATTTTCAACTGGATTTGTGATTTGTGAAGTAAATGGATACATTGTATAATTTGAAATTGGAGTTGATGGTAATGAAGGAGGAAGAGGTGGTAAAGAGGAAGGTGAAATTGGTGGAGAATATTGAGGTGTTTGAGGTGTAGAGGATTTTCGGGTGTTATCATATGATTCAGGTGAGTAAGGTGAATAAAGTGAATCGAATGAATTAGGTAAATTAAATGAAGAATTTATACTTGAAGGGAGTTGTGATGTGGCTTGTTTTAATTCATCAAATAAAGTTGATCCTGTTAATTGGGGTGTAGTTGATCTTGAACCTTGAATTGATGGTGGAAATTGCGGAGTTGATGGAGTAGATGGTAAAGTCGTTTCAGGAGATATATACATATTATGAGTATGGGAATGTGAATTTGAATAAGGTGATGATAAATTATATGGACTTTCAGGTCCTAACTCTAATAAAGGTTGAGAAATAATATGAGGTGTATTTGGTTCAGATATTATATATGACGTTGATTCAGATGGAAATCCGGATGATGGAAACTCGGATGGAAATTCAGAAGGAAATTCGGGTGGAAATTCAGGCGAATGAGGATTAGAATCCTCAGATGAATGTGAAGTGAGAGCTGGAAAATATGGAGTGGTTGGAGTTGGAGGTATTGAACGTAGAAAATGAGAAGAAGAGAAATATGGTGAAGTTGGTGATGCTATACTTGAACGTGAAGATTGTGTACGACTAGAATCAATTATTGGAGATGATGGAAGACGTGGTCGGGGTGTTGATAATGGAATCTCCATAGAAGATGTGGTATTATTTGTATTAGTGGTGGTGGTGATGTTTGTGTTAATAGAAGAAGTAGAAGTTGATAAGGAATTAATTGTTGATGTTGCAAATTTATTTTGTACTTCAAATTGGTTAACCTGTTTAGAAGAATTACTATTAACATTAAAAGTTGTATCTATTATAACTTTATCCATAATTAACTCTTCTTGACTCTCTTGATTTGTCACATTTTCAATAATAAGAGGAACTTGTGTGTTAATCTTCTCATTATTATTAATATCATTATTAATGTTAATCTTCTCATTATTATTAATATCATTATTAATGTTAATCTTATTATTAATGTTAATATCATTATTAATGTTAATGTTAATATTATTATTATTAATGTCATTATTAATATCATTGTTATTAATATCATTATTAATATTAATATTATTAATATTATTTAAAGAATTATTATCATCAACCATTGTTGAATAATTATCATTAATGATTATATTGGAAATCTTGATAATCTCTTCGGTATTAGAATTATCATCATTTTCGTTATTTTCGTCATTTAAGTTGATATTATTATTTATAATATTTTCTTCTTCTTTATTATTTGTATTCAATAAGACTTTTGTATTTATTGATTCTACATTGATAACAATTCTTTCATCTACAGTTTTATTGGTTTTATTGAATTCCATTCTCTTAATTCCCAAAGGTATATTATCATCATCTTCATTTTGAATATTGATTACATTGATTTCTTGTTGTGTTTCATTTTCAGATAATTTGGATTGTAATTTATCCTCTTTTATATTAATACTTAAATTATTATTATTTTTATTTAAATAATTATTACTATTTAAGTCATTAATATTTAAATTGTTATTATGTTCATTTATTTCTTTATTATTCTCTTCATTCTGATTATCATTTCGAATATCTTCCTGGTTCATATTAATTTCTAAATTTGCATTCACTCTTTTAATTTGTAATTGTGAAGATTGTGAATCTTTTTGTTGTTGTTGTTGTTGTTGCTGCCACTGCTGCTGTTGTTGTTGTTGTTGTTGCTGCCACTGCTGCTGTTGTTTTAATAGTCGTTGCTGCCGCTGCTTCCGCTGTTCTTGTTGCTGCCGCCTCTGCTCTCGCTGTTGCTGCTGTTGTTGCTGTTGCTGCTGTTGTTGCTGTTGCTGCTGTTGTTGCTGTTGCTGCTGTTGTTGCTGTTGATGTTGCTGCTGTTGTTGTTGCTGCTTTTGTTGTAATAACAATTGTTCGGTATGTTCAGTTTGTTCAGTACGCTCAGCTTGTTTGGGTTCATCAACATTTATAACAATTAAATCCTCAAATTCTTCTGTGCCCTCTTTATTATTTTCTTTGATTCCTATTGAAATTAGTTTATTCAACGATTTTCTCTTATTCTCTTTATTAGTCACATGTAAATTATTGTTTACTTCATATGGTTCGAAACTTTGTTTACCGAATCCAAATGTTCTCATTAATCTATGACTGGCTGACTTTTTTCTGGTGGGTATAGATTGTTGAATTGTGTTGTTGTTGTTGTTGTTGTTGTTGAATTGACTTGAAACATTTGAATAATTTGAACTATTTGAACGACTTGAAATTGCCGATGAAATAGATGAAGAACGTTCCTTAATCGGAACAGAAGATAATGATGATAAATATGATATTAAAATTGGTGGTGGTGGTTTATATGAATTATTGTTTGAAATCTTAGATGATGATTTATTACTTTTTCTTTGTTTATTATTATTATTAATAACATCCGTTCCACCATTATTATTATTATTATTATTATTATTATTATTATTATTTGAATTTACAGGAAGAGAAATTCCCATAAAACGAATATGATTCCATGCTCGATCAGGTGCATGAAACATAAAATCACGTAAAATTTCCATTTGTGATGTAGTATCGTATTTAGAATTATTAGATCTAGTACTCTTGGAATCAGAATTGTCATCAGAAAGATGAAAATTATAAATTGATGCTGCGCGACTTTGATTCTGATTTTTTGATGAAACATTTAAAGTCATTGGTCTCCCACCAAAACGATAAGCTTGCATTGTTCTCTGACGATCCCATTCTATAGCCGTCATCGTCCATGATGCTGCATTCCATTGTTGTCTTAATGCAACAATTTCATTTCGAATTACATCAAGTGCTTGTTTCATTCTTCTCGCTTCATCTGGAACTTTCAATAATTCATCTGGATCAAAAAAGTAATCTTCTATATTATTTTCATTGACTTCTGCGAAATTATCAACTTTTTGTAAATGTCTAACTAATTCATGAGTAAAATAAGTTCGACTAGCTTGTAGAATTTGCATTGAACGACGAGAACATGAATATAATGAAGTGTTAAATGTGGCATGTTGAAGCGCATCATATAATGGGAACGGATATAACGTACACAATTTGGACGTATATTGTTCTCGAATTTGATGTGGTTGTCGCATAGGTTTAACTATTAAAATAATCCGAATAAAAGGTCTAATTGAATTCATATTATTGTTATTGAAAATTGTTACTGATGGTGATGATTCTAAGTTAGATTCAATTTCCTCTGCAACGGAAGTCGCAGCACCTGTTGAAATAGAAGTTTTTACATTTGATCCATTCTCTTCTTCATCATCTTCGCCTTCGTCTTCCAATTCTGGATTACTTTTGGTACTAATTTCATCCAAATTATCAACGATATCATTATTGTCATTTTCTACTATTAAATCATTATTATCATTATTGTTATCATATTTATCATTATTATCTTTAATCGCATTTCCTTGAACTTTATTTTCAATCGCCACATCTTGATCTTTATTTTCAATGTTCTGATCTAAAAACCTACTTTTATTCTCAACTTCAATTGTTAATCCATTATCTTGATTTTCTTGATTTTCTTGTTGTTCTGAAGTGATAGAAATGTTTATTTGTGATTGTTGTGATTGCTGAGATAGTTGTGATTCTTGTGATTCTTGTGATGCATCATCTAATCGTAACAATTCCAAAGGTTTATTCAGTTCATTATCTGAATTAGAGTTCATTGACTTTACTTTCTCTCCATCTTCAAAAAAATCAAGTTGTTGAGATAATTTACTACTACGTTTATTAAATACACTACTTTTAACTCCAGGTTTTACATTAGGATCTAAATATAAATCCATATGAGAAGGATGAGAAGATTCACATTGTTCAACGATATTATTATTATCAAGTTCACTCATCATTGTATATAATTGATTAGATTGTAAATCAAGATAAATATCAACTGTTTGTTCATTATAAATATCTCCAACTTCCCATGTTAAATTCGTATCATTTTGTAATTTATGATAACCTTCTATAAATGATGTCCGAAATTGTCCTAAACTTCCTGAACTTGCAATGTTTTCATCTGAAGTAGCCGAAAATACTAAATCCATAAAACAATCTTGACTTAAACATGTTAATGATTTAATCCAACTTGCTTCCTCTGAATTAATTGTGGCTTCATCTCGGATTTTTCCCAAAGGAATAAATTGTTTACGATCCTTTGGTACCAATATTTTAATACCTTGCAAAGTACTTTCTGAATATAAAACACCTAAATAAAGTCCAGGAGATAATTTGGTTTGTCTTGCACACCATTTTTCAATATAATTACTCCAAATAGGATGTGAATCTTTTTGATATAAATTGTTACATTCATTACAATTTTTCCATTTTAATATTCCAGACTTTATAAGATCCGATGCAACATCTTCTTTAATTACATTTGAAACATGTTGAATGGCCAAAATAAATTTAGACTTTGTTGAATTCATATGAACAACGTGTTCATATATTAGTCCCAAAGATTCTAAAGATAACTCATTTTTTAATTTTATAGCAGCTTGGGAAAATACACGTGACCATAACGTATCTTGTTCACCAAAGTATTGATTATAATCAGGAGTAAAATCACTCGTACTTGTACTTGAATTTGAATGAAAAGAATGAAGAGAATCTGCGTCACTTGAAGAATCATCCTTATCAATATCTATGGAAGTAGCCCAATCCAAAGAAGTTCTTATTACGTGAGCAAATTCTTCACTATCATCCTCAAATTTTCCAAAAATTCTATTGTCACGTATTACTTCAACAGTAGGAAACATTCTACTTCCAGAAGTTATTAATATTTTATTGTCACTAGTGAACAAGATTATCGATAAGTAAATTGTTTCAGTTTGAAAACGAGTTTTCAAACATGATTTATTACTGCTAAAGACACCTCTACGTTTTGTTGTTGTTGTAGTAGCAGCACTTGGACTTAAAGTAGATGATGATGTTTTACGCTAAAAAAAAGAAATAAATAAATATAATTTATTAGATTATAATAATTTGATAGGACAAGAGATTAAATTATAATAATTTGACAGGACAAGAGTAGATAATTATCAAAAAAAAAATGATGATACCTTTTTGGGATTTTCTTCATTATATACAAGTTCAATATATTCAGGAGTTTTTTTACGTACTATCAATGTATCCTACATAAAAGGATTTAACCAATTAGCTTTAGCAACCCATATTCAGCAAGGAAAAAATTTTAATGAAAAAATAATTCAAGATACGAACCTCTTCAGGATAAGATGACAATAAATGAGATTCACAAAGCCAAGTCTTGAAAAGTTCACTATATAAAGCATAATTCCAAGAATCATAAATGCCTAACGTTTTGCAAGCCTAATGGAAAAAAAAAAAGATATAAGATTAATGAAAATAAAAGCAAGAGAAAAAAAAACTAAAACAAAGAGAGATCAAGTATATACCTTTTCAAGTACAGCCTGAACAGAAGTTCCTTGTGAATAATCAACTTCGACAGGTATGTCATGACTATCATGACCCTCGAGCCGTACTTGTATAAGACAATAACTGTAAAAAATCATATAACATTATTTATATATTTTTATAAAATTATAAAATCAATAACGAAGAACTAAAGAACTAAAAGATTTATAAAAAAAAAACATACAAATCCATGATATAAATTTAAATTTAAATAATTGATATAGAGACTGGTTACAGTAATAAAGGAATGTTATTGGATAATTGGTTATTATTTGAAAAAAAAAAGAAATACACAACAAAAAGGAACGAAAAAATTAAAAGAACAAAGTAAAGAATATTATGTAGACAAGAAATTCTAGTATAAAAAAAAATCGTATAGAATAAAGGAAATAAAAAAATAAAATGAGACAGAATACTTCGTTATGTAACAAATCTTTAACGTGTAAAAGGTAGAGGAAAAGAGGAAGACGGAAAAAAATGGAAGAAAAAAGGGAAAAGAATAATTGTAGAGAAAAAAAGTAACAAGTATTTCACGCTATGATAAATGAAATAAGAATGGACAGTTTGTGCTTTTGGTACAACCAAAGATAAACGGAAATACGAAATAACTTTAAAGAAAATTGAACGAAAAGATGAATGGTGCTTTTAGTAAAGTTTGACGATGAAAAAGTCGAGTAACCTGTCTCGATGAAGTAAACAAATTGAATTTTTACGAATAATAATAAATAATGTTATTTTTAAGTGCATAATAAATACACCTTACATAAGTTTGTCTTACTTATTATAAAGTCTATTTCGTCAAGAAACAAATGAATAAATAAAATAAATGTCTAAAAAATAGTGTTTTTTTTTTTTTTTTTTTTTATAAATCGGGTAATTTTAAAATGTTTGTCACCAAAAATGAAAAGTTAATATTTTGACCAACAAACAACAATTTATAATTTATTATATTTAGCCGTAAATATTTCGAAAATAAGAAAAGTTTTTTAACGATTTATTTTGGATCAACAAAACTAACTAGCTAAAATTTTTATTTTGTTATTATGACTAAAACTATAATATTATTTATAATAAAAAATGGGAATCCAAAAAGGACAACAGCTAAAGTGTTTCATATTTGTTCATCTATGAATTTTCATAATTAATAAATAATAAATAATATTACTACAGGAAAGAAAAGTAAAACATTGATGCATAAAATTCAATTTCATTTCTTTCCTAATTTGGCACCACGTTTAATTATTTTTCAAACAAAAAGAATAATATTTGATACGAAAATTTTATAAATATTTATTATTGGATCCAATTCATTAATGCATGGCGTGTGTGTTTATATTTGTCATTCTAAAATAATAAACATAATAAACATAAACATAGAATTTGAATTTGATTATAAAAAATTAAAAAATTCCTGCAGGTCAGGCCTGCATGTTCAATGTAATAATAAAAAACCTGGTAATCTTAATTATTATCTATTTTTTGATAATTTTCTTGTTATTTCAATTTCCAACTTTCTTTATATAGGCTGGAGCTGGAAGTACCAAAATTATTTTGCGTTTGGATCAACTTCGTTTGTTTGAGTAATACATAAATCAGAAACGCATAAATTCGAGATTTTCTGCATTCGAATTTTTTTTCTAAACTATTTTAAATTCGTTTAATTCATTTCTCATTTTAAAAAGTTATTTGTTAACAATAAAACTTGATATGCCTATTAAGGAAATACTTTGTCATGTCTGTGTTGTGTGATCTTTTTGATTATCTTTGGATTAAAGTATTACGATAAAATTACAAGTTGTTTCGCTTCAATAAAATTTTTGACAGAAAATTGAAACAAAAATGCGTATAATTTAAGAAAAGATTTCTAAATTTAGTATTTTTACAGCAGAACATGTTGCCTAGTTTATTTATGTATAAAAACGAAGTTTAATATAACTAGAGTCTTACGGATTATCCATTTACTGACATAATTAGTTAAGTCATATTAAAACATATGACGTATTTGAAGAACTGCATCAATATTATTAAAAACGTGTATCGTTAATTATTGGTTGATTCATTAGGTGACACTCAAGATCACCTACGTTTTCGGTTCACCGATAATCCCGAAAACCTTAATGAAAACATGCATTTTCATTTATTTGTACGAAATTACGTGATTGAGTAGAAATCGGTACCGCTCTTGCATTCATTCTATGTTTTGGACTCAGGAAAAGATGTTTTAGGTTTCATCATCTTTTACGGGTTCTGCTTTCTGTTAGACCATCTTCTACTTTAGAACCGCAGTAAATTGAGTTGCTTGTTTGATACTGAGAGACTAACTTTCGATATAATAAGGCCAAATCTCATGCTGGCATCTCAAATTCCGGGAAAATATCAGAAAAGCAAAGCTCAAAAACAAATTATTTTCTATACACTTCAATGACGCAAAGCACCATTTCTCTGCTTAAAATGTACTTTACCTTTACATTTGGGTCAATGATAGAAATGTTAATTCCCAAACCCAAAGAAGATGATTAAAATGATGAATTTCATACAGAGAGTTATGATAGTGCATGGTTGGCATACTTAACAAATATCTGGAAGATTATAAAATATGCGATATTAAAAAACTCAGAGTAAAATTTTACCATTTCTGTTACAATTCAGTATTGAAAAAAAAAACTTTTTTTTTAACCAACAGAGCCTTGCTCCAGAATGTTTATTTATTTGTTAAAAATTATACAAATTAAGAACAAAATAAACTAAAAATTTTAATTTACTGTATCACATTATTGATAAAGTGATATCGGGTTATTTTATTTAATAATAAAAAATATGTTTCGTGATTATTTTATGTGGATGTTGATAAAAAAAAAGGGGGGGGGGGGGGGTTTCGTGGTTATTTTATATGGATGTTGATAATAAAAATGAAAAAGGTTTACTTTATTGAAAATTTCAATAATAACAAGCGCAGTAGCAAGAATAACAATAATAATAATTATATCCGGCTACGCCACAATAGTTTCTACAACATGTTGTTAAGAAACCCCCGCAATAATAGCAGGCTTTTGGTTCAAGGTCTCCAAGATTTCTTTTCGCGCTAGATTTCGGAGGAAATGTATGGACCTCGTCTTTGTCGCCCGGTTTCTTATTAATAGGGTCGGATCGAGGTTCTAATTCGCTGTCTTGCGGTTCGGTTGGTGCTGATAGTGCAGAAGTCAACATTAAAACTAAGAATAACGCAAGGAGTAAATATAATTTTGTGGTTTTTGTAGCCATTTTTGTTGTCTTTGAGTTAAATTGAAAATTTTGAACAGAACATGGACAGAATCACATCTTATTTATACTTTTGGCATCCAAGCATTTTTTTCAAAGAACAATAAAATATTAATTCCTCCCATTATGATTTTTATTTACTCCGCGATTTCCCGTGCATGTGTTTGTGATAAAAGTATATTCAATATTTCTTTTTTCATCTCCATTAATGATTTCTTTTTTCATCTTCTGATAAATGTATATTCAAAACAAGATTGATTCTTTTATCATTAAACAAGTTTTCCGCACTCTATATTCTAAGTTCTATTCAGAATTTTCTCTACAATTCGGAGTAGCAAATAGTGCTATCTTAAAGTTTTCATAATAGATCTTTTGACCTTTGTTACAAAAATAGTAAAGGAACTAGCATTTATCATCTCCGACAAGGCCAAATTATAAAATGCCAATTTGACATTTTGAGACTGTCAAATGGAACGTAAAACTAAATTGTAAAGAAGGCTTATCTTTCATTTGTTCAAAAGTAGAATTTTCTTAATTAAAATCAATTTCTTCATCCAACCCACTATCATCATAGTAGCAAAGAGTGCTATCTTAAAGTTTTCATAATAGATTCTTTAACTACAAAAATAGTAAAGGAACGAACATTTATCATCTCCGACAAGGCCCAAATCATAGGCTGCCAATTTGACATTTTGAGACTGTCAAATGACACGTAAAGATAACCAAATTGTAAACAAAGCTTATCTTTTATTTGTTCAAAAGTAGAATTTTCTTTATTAAAGTCAATTTCTTCATTCAACCCGCTATCATAATAGTAACAAAATAGTGCTATCTTAATGTTTTCATAATAGATTGTCTAATTACAAAAATAGTAAAGGAACGAGCATTTATCATCTCCGACAGGGCCAAATTATAGGATGCCAATTTGACATTTTGAGACTTTCAAATGACACGTAAAGGCCAAATTGTAAACAAGGCTTATCGTTTATTTGTTCGAAGTAGAATTTTCTTTTATTAAAGTCAATTTCTTCATCTCTCACACTATTCATAATTACATATTTTTTAAAAATCTTCCATTATTATCACGTTTTTTTTTGTTATAGATATTGATGATATATATAATCAACACGTTAAAATAATTATCAATTTTATCATTTTTATATTATATCTCATTTCAAGAATTTATTGAGTAAACAATGAAGATCATTAAATTCACTTTTTTCTCTTTTTGGACAAACGGCACCTTTTTATAGATAATATAATTAAGCCATTTTTTGTATGAAATATCTATTTTTTACTATTTTTTACAAATATGTATCAAAAAAAGGTGATGGCGTTATTTACGACGGATTAGTATTTATTAAATCTCATACATATCACAAAAAAAATCAAAATTGTCAGGTGAATTTAACCTAAACACCAGGGTCTTATTGTCCGAAGTGTAACGTAGGATATACTTTTACGACATTGGAAATTTTTCGATCCATAGTTATGAACGAAGTTTTTGAATTTTCTTGTCTCACTAATTGCAAATTGTACTCTTACAACTCCTAGACCCTCACGTGTTCTATTAATATTTACATTTTTTAATTCTTTATATTTATAATTTACAAAGTTTTCTAAAATACCATGTTCTAGAATTTATTAATAATATTTATTAATTAATATTATCTCATCTAACAAAAAATTATTGTCTCATAAATCTCTTAATCAATACCTCATTACAAATTTCAACATTAATATTTATCTAATTTCTTATTTTCGTGTTATAAACTTTAAACGATTACGAATTTTGCTATAATAAATCCAAAAGTAGAAAAAATTACTAATTATGGAACGAGTATAGTAGCTGATATGTGAATCCTTATTTCAAAATTTGTCGGATTCTTCATGACTAAATTTACTATTTGCATTGACATGTGAGTCGATTTTGCCATAAAATCAAACAAAAATCATTAATTATTGTGCCAGCAATGCTAATATAAAACTTGATGATCTGATTTTTCTTTCCAATTTGCTTTTGAATCAGTTTAATTAAAATTACCCATTCTTAAAATATATAATTAATAATTATAGAGAGATATTATGTATTTTTTAGGGTATTTACATCAGGAATTTTATAGAAGCATTCTACAGTGTGGAACCTCTATAATAGGAACTTAGAAAATCTTAAATAAAATGATCAGATTTCTTTCATATTATAGTATCTGAATGTATACATTTGGGACATTTGGGGAAATCTATTTATGGAAAAAAAAATTCAATTTTCTTGGTTTATGTAAGTAACACATGATGCGATTTTAGCCAATCAGAATTCAAGAAATATATTCACGTGTTTATATTTTAATAATAAGGATTATAAATTTAAAAATTATTTTATTTAAAATTTTAATTATTTGATTTCATTATAAATTGTACACTAGTCAAATACAAAGAATACTGTACTGAATAGTAATTTCTATATTATAGATCAGTTAAAAATTGGTAATAATTGACTATCCTATTGCATCCTATATTATAAATTAACTAAAATTAAAATTTTTTTTCAGTACAGTATATCTTTTGTATTTGACCTGTGGTATCAGGTACATGATGATGAAATTTATTTTTTTTAACTACATATTCTGCCATTTTTTCAGTAATACCTTTTTTGTATATATCCATATATCTCTATAATTTATATACATATTTTCAAATAGTAATTAAAGAAATTAAATCTAAAACTTTAAAAATAGTTTTTTGTAATTCAGTTCAAGTATAATTATAATATTCTCTAGTATATCTTTTAGCAACATTCCAATATATCTTTATATAGTTTAATTCACAATAATATTTTAAATAAAATATATATTTTTGTTCATATTTTTTAATTTTTCTTGAAGTTTAAATTTTTATATTAAAAAATCAAGTTGTAAAAACAAAATTCAATATGCATAACAATCAATTCTGCTTATATCTGTAATTTTTATTTTTCCTTTACATAATTTACAGTTAACTAATAAATTATCTTTCTATAAACTTCTTTTAATTAATACTTGTTTTATACTTTTGAATTAATTTAAATATTCAAAATAATCAGATAAAAAAATTATAAATTATAATATATTATTTAATATATAATAAATATTATACATCAGGTGATAGGTTGTGGGCCTATCTCTTATAAGTTAATCTGAATCTCATCTTTTCAAATAAACATTAGAATAAGTTGTGTATTTTGTATTATATAATTCTATGTAATATAAAAAACTTTTTCTTTTTCTAATTAATAAATTTGAGACAAGATCTCATTGAAACAAAAAAATAATAATAATAATAATAAATATTATACATATGTGATTATTTTCCTCCTGAATTTAATTCATTCTAAAAGCATTTAATCTATTTTTTGCCATTGTTCCATAATTAGTACTATACTATTATTAAATACAAAAATACCTATTGTATTAAAATATAAAAGTTAAAAATAGGTATTACATTATTAACTACCTAATTTATAAAATGTTTTGGAGTCCACTAACTTTTTTTATTTTTATCTGGATAAAGAAATTTTCACAAGTCAAATATAAAAGATATACTGTATTAAAAAAAAATTTTAATTTAAGTTGATTTACATATAAGATGTGCTAGAAACAATATAATTATATTGTTTCTGGTTAGTGTAGGTTATGTTGATCATCTGTGATATAAGTTTTGTTTTTTAAACCACACTCAAAGGACATAAGTTTTGTTTTTTAAATTATATTCGAATGATATGTATTTTATTTTTAAATCTCACAGATGACCTGGTATAATTTAAAAAATTAGATAACTATATAGATTGTGTTTGTTATACTTGCATGCAAAATTATTTTGAGGCCCTGAAATTGTAATTTCGGAAAAAAAAGTTGAAATAGTTTTTCATAAAAGACGAAATTATTTTACTTAAAATTCGAAATTTTTTGACCACCTAGATTTATTCTTTGATTAAAGATACATATAACTGGATATTTTTTTTACTTTTATATATAGAATAGATTTTGCATAAATCTCAAAAAGTCGAAATACCTCAAAAATCCAAAATCAAT